CACCGTCAGCATCATCCTCATCCTCATCATCAGCATCATCAGCATCAGCAGCATCCTCATCATCATCCTCATGATCATTATCATCGTGATCATCAGCATCAGCATCATCATCGTCATCATCATCCTCATCATCATCATCCTCCTCATCATCACCACCACCACCTCCACCACCACCACCACCACCACCACCACCATCATCATCATCATCACCACCACCACCACCACCACCACCACCACCATCATCATCATCATCAGCAGCAGCAGCAGCAGCAGCAGCATCATCATCATCATCATCACTATCGCACTCCAAGGACTCCCTTCGCTTCCTCCACATTTCGCCGCCCTCGCCCTCCTTACGCCCCCCCCTTCTCACCTCATCCCTCTTCTCCGTCTGTTCCGCCTTTACCGCTCTCTCCTCAGGCTCTACCGCCTTCACTGTCAGGAGAAAACGAGCGAGACCGAGGAGGACGATCACGACCAGGACCCATGACCGACGACGGCGACGACGAGGACGACGGCGACGACGATGAAGACGACCAAAACCAGACTGCAGCAGGGAACGGGCCGACCACGACGACGCCGAAAGCCGCCGACGACGACGACAGGCGGATGGCGACGACCGCCGCCGACGCCGACGACGACGACGACGACGACGACGACGACGACGACGGCGACGACGACGACGCCCGGCAGAGGGCGTCGTCGTCGGTGGACGGTACGACGACCGGCGGAGGGCGACGAAGGCGCCGCCCTGCCCCTGGGCGGCGTTCCCCATGCGGCGCGCGCGGACCCCGCGCGGCGCGCGCAAAGCGCGCGCTGCCCGCGCGGCCGCGGCCCGGTGCCGGCCGTGGCCCGGCGCGCGGCGGGCGCCGCGCTGGCGGCGGAGGGGCGCGCAGCGTCGTCGTGCGGTTTCTTTTTCTCTTGGTTTTTCTTTGTTTTTTTTTTTTTTTTCCGTTTGTGCTGGGGGGGGGTCTTTTTTTTTCTTTGGGGGGGGGTTGTGTTGCGGGGAGGGCGGTGGGGCGGGGGGTTTATTGGGGAGGGCTGGCAGCGACGGCGCGCGGCGCGCCGCGGGGGGGGGCCCTCGTACGACAGGCTCGCGTCGTGTCGGCCCCGGCGTTGGCTCCCGACACCGCGGTGATCGTTCAGACTTGAACGATCGGACGTTCCATTGCCCACCGGTCGGATGAAGTAGATAGAAACATGAAGTAGGAAGGCGGATAGAGTAGATTGGGTCCGGGCCCGCCCAGAGAACAACACAGCGCAGCAAAAGCATATCTATTCTTGAAGTAGGAAGGCGCTTGAAGTAGATTGGCTTCTGGGAATCCAAAAAAACAGACTTTCAACGACCGATGGGTAGTGTCGGATCGTTCAACGACGGCCCGATTCGGGACCGCCGCCAGCATTCCACGTAGAACGCCGGCGGCGGGGTCGCCGCCAGTCGACACGACGCGAAGCCACCGCAGGCTGCCTCGTGTTCCTCACCCCGGGCATGGGGGCAGTCTGTCGCTGCTCCTGGCGTTCTCGATCCGTGGTAGTGCTGTCGTGCGTCGGCTTCGCCGCGGTCGCTTGCTGCTCTTGCTTGGCGCGCGGGCGGGCTCGTCCGCGCAAGCCTGACGCTACGGGCCAAGGAGGCCCGACAGTATGCCGAAGAAAGAAAAGGAGGGGGAAAGGAGGAGGAGGCATCAACCAGTTTCTTCTTCATAGGCCCCAAAAACACAGTTTGTTGAGTGCGGGAAAAGTGGCACATTAGCAGACAAATGCCTGAGAATCCTCAATCATGCCGAAATACAATTCCTGACACTTCAACGCCCCAGATCAACGTCACTCTTGCGTCCCGACAAGCCTAAACCGTGCCCAAAACACCATGCCTGGGATCTCACGACGGCGAATCAATGTGAATGCTGCGTCCCGACAATCCCAAGCCTTACCAAACACCCATCCCGGGATTTCAACCATACGAATTCTTGAAACTGCTGCAGGTTCTTTTCCGAGGAGCGTGCGGGCGGCCAGGAAAGAGAGCCACCCCAATCCTTCTAGATACTTTTTCCTGGCGACGGCTCAAGCCAATGCGACTTCTGCTGCGGACTGGAACTACCAGCCCAACTCCAATTCCAATCGATCTCAATCAAATGCTTTGGGACTTGACTCAGAAATCTTCGGTTGGGTTGGAAATGGAGTGGCCTTGGGGCCTGTGAGCGCCCAGCAAAATCAAAGCTAAACGGCTATGGAAACGGTAATAATGGTGGTAATGGTGGTAATGGTGGCAAACTTAAGGGGCCCAAACGACGACGACGACGACGCCCACGACGACGACGACGACGACGACGACGGCCGCCCACGATGCCCACGATGACGACGACGACGACGACGACGACGACGACGACGACGGCCGCCCACGATGCACACGACGCCCACGACGACGACGACGACGCCCACGATGACGACCACGACGACGACGACAACGACGACGACGACGTCCACGACGACGACGCCCACGACGACGACGACGACGACGACGACGACGACGAGGACGACGACGCCGCCAGACGCCACGACGACACACGACGACGACGACGACGACGACCGCCCACGACACCCACGACGCACACGGCGACGAGGCCCACGACGAAGACGACGCTGCGACGCAACGACGACGACGACCCGACACGACGACAAAGACGAAGACCCCGACGCCCACGACGACGCCGGACGACGACGAGACGACGACGACGACGGACGACGACACCACCGACGCGACGACGACGGAAGCCGCCGACGACGACGACGACGACGACGACGACGACGCCGACCGACGACGAACCGGACGACGACGACGAAGAAGACGACGGCCCGCCCACGCGCCCACGACGCCCACCGACGACGACGAGGCCGCCATGACGCCCACGACGACGACGACGAAGACGACGACGGCCGCCCAACGACGACGACGACGCCCACGACGACGACGACGGCGACGACGACCACGACACGACCACGAACACGACGACGACGAGGCCCACGACGACGACGACGACGACGACGGACGACGACGATGACGACAGGACGACGACGACGACGACGACGACGACCGACGATGACGACGACGACGACGACGACGGCCGCCAGACGATGACCACGAAGCCCACGACGACGACGACGGCCGCCCACGATGCCCACGACGACGCCGAAGACGCCCACGACGACGACGACGACGACGACGACGACGACGTTGACCGCGACGACGACGACGACGAAGACGACGACGACGACGACGACGACGGCCGCTCACGATGCCCACGACGCCCACGACGACGACGAAGGCCGCCCACGACGCCCACGACGACGACGACGACGACGCCGACGACGCCGACGACGTTGACGACCACGGCGGCGACGACGACGACGACGACCACGACGACGACGAGGCCCACGACGACGACGACGACGACGACGACGACGACACGACGCGACGACGGAGACGACGACGACGGCCGCCCACGACGCACACGACCCCACGACGACAGAGCGGGCGACGGCCCCCGGAAACGACGACCACGACGCCGACGAAGGCCGCACACGACGCCCACGACGACGACGACGACGCCCCGCGACGACGACGACGACGACGACGACGGCCGCCCACGACGCCCACGACGCCCACGACGACGGCGACGGCCGCCCACGACGCCCACGACGACGACGAAGGCCGCCCACGACGCCCACGACGACGACGACGACGCCCGCGACGCCAACAACGACGACGACGACGACGACGACGACGACGACGACGCCCACGACGACGACGGACGGCCGCCCCACCATGCCCACGACGTGCCACCGACGACGACCGAAGTCCGCCCACGACACCACGACGACGACGACGACGACGACGGACGACGGACACCACGACGACGACGACGACGACGGCGGCCGCCCACGATTGCACCCCGACGCCCACGACGACAACGACGACGACGACCACGACGACGACCACGGACGACGACGACGACCACTGACGCACGACGAAACGACGACGACGACGAGCCAACGGCGCCAAGACGACGACGGAAGGCCGCACGACGCCCACACTGACGACGACGGACGGAGGGACGAACGACGACTGAACGACGACGACGACGACGACCCACGATGCACACGACGCCCACGGCGACGACGACGACGCCCACGCTGAAAACGACGACCGACGACAACGACGACGACGACGCCCACGACGCGACGCCCACACGAACGGGACGACGACGACGACGACGACGACGACGATGACGATGACGACGACCCCGCCCACGACGCACACGACGCCCACGACGACGACGACGACGACGACGACGACGACGACGAGGCCCACAACGACGACGACGGCCGCCCACGATGCCCACGACGCCCACGGCGACGACGACGACGACGACGACGCCCGCGACGCCAACGACGACGACGACGACGACCACGACGACGACGGCGACGCCGCCCACGACGCCCACGACGCCCACGACGACGACGACGACGACGACGACGACGATGGCGACGCCGCCCTCGACGCCCACGACGACGACGACGCCGACGACGACGCCGACGACGACGCCGACGACGACCACGACGCCCACGACGCCCACGACGACGACGACGCCCACGACGACGACGAAGGCCGCCCACGACGCCCACGACGACGACGACGACGACGACGACGACGACGACGACGACGACGGCGACGACGGCCGCCCACGATGCACACGACGCCCACGACGACGACGACGACGACAACCACGACAACGACGACGAGGCCCACGACGACGACGACGACGACGAGGACGACGACGACCACGACGACGACGGCCGCCCACGATGCCCACGACGCCCACGACGACGACGACGAGGCCCACGACGCCCACGACGACGACGAAGACGACGACGACGACGACGACCACGACGACGACGCCCGCGAGGCCAACGACGACGACGACGACGACGACGACGACGACGACGACGACGACGACGGCCCGACGACGACGACGACGCCGCCCACGACGCCCACGGCGACGACGACGACGACGACGACGACGACGATAACGACGCCGCCCACGACGCCCACGACGACGACAAAGTTGACCACGACGACGACGACGACGACGACGACGACGACGACGACGACGACGACGACGACGACGACGACGACGGCCGCCCACGATGCCAACGACGCCCACGACAATGACGACGGCCGCCCACGATGCACACGACGCCCACGGCGACGACGACGACGCCCACGATGAAGACGACGACGACGACGACAACGACGACGACGACGCCCACGACGACGACGCCCACGACGACGACGACGACGACGACGACGACGACGATGACGATGACGACGACGCCGCCCACGACGCACACGACGCCCACGACGACGACGACGACGACGACGACGACGCCGACGACGTTGACCACGACGCCCACGACGACGACGACGACGACGACGTCCACGATGCACACGACGCCCACGACGACGACGACGACGACGCCCACGGCGACGACGAGGCCCACGACGACGACGACGACGACGACGACGACGACGGCTGCCCACGATGCCCACGACGCCCACGACGATGACGACGGC